CATTTCCCAACAGTATTATAGCCTGTGAACCCATCTGATATTGCCCCATTCTCAAGATGGAATTTTAAAAAAGCTAACTGGCATTTATATCGAACTCTGTGTTGTAACAGACTTAAATCTGAACTTATTATAGATGTTCCTGATGCGATAAAGGATTTTTCTGATGAACTCAACAATATAGCTGATGAATGTATCCCCGACTCCTCTGCAATTCCACACATCCGAAAATCATGGTTCAACAATGAAAGGCACTGAAGAAGGCTGAGCATTATTTCCGTCGCCATCCTATGGTCCATAATTTGAATACATTTAAAATTTTAAATGCTAAGGCACGACATACCTTCAAGAAAAGTAAACGTCAATCCTGGTGAAATTATGAGTAAAAAATAAATTCACGAACGCCGATATCAAAGGTATGGAACATGATCCAAAATATAAAAGGTAAAGGCTCTCAATCTAGCATTAAGCATCTTAAAGACGGAGACGAATTCCTAACTAGTAAATCTGATATAGCCAATAAACTTGGAGAAACTCTGGCCAAACATTCTTCCTCGTCGAATTATGTACCTTAATTCCAAAAATATCAAACACAACAGGAAAAGAAAACTATTCATTTCAATTCAGATAATGGGGAAGACTACAAAGAAATATTTTCTATTCATGAGCTTCTTACTGCTGTTGACCAAGCTCACGATACTGCTAATGGGGCTGATAACATACAATATCAGCTCCTGAAGCACTTGCTGGAATCGTGTTTAGAGACCCTCTTTTTGATGATATTTGGACGTCTGGACAATTTCCTTCTTCATGGCGCGATGCTATTATTGTACCTATCCCTAAACCTGGACGTGATTATACTAATTCTGATACTGATAATTATCGACCGATCTCACTAACTAGCTGCGTTTGCAAGACCATGGTACGCATGATAAACAATGGAATTGTGTTGTACATGGAAAATTGATAACCTTATAACAGATATTCAATGTGGTTTCCGTAAAAACATAAGTACCAGTGTGCGTTTAGAATTCTTTGTATAAAATGTCATTATTCAAAAACAACATGCTGTGTCGGTCTTTTTCGATTTAGACAAAGCATATGACACGACATGGAAACATGGTATTTTAAGAGATTTACACGATTTGGGATTGAGAGGCCGTTTGCCTCAATTTATATCCAACTGTTTAACTGACAGGCAATTTCAAGTCCGCGTGGGTTCAACCGTATGTCTGATCATTACAATCAGGATCAGGGTGTCCTACAAGGCAGTATTTTGTCTGTCAATCTATTTAGTATTAAAATAAATAGTCTTTCAAAGGTTTTAAGTGATTCAATCGATGGATCCCTTTTGGTCGATGATCTTAATATTTCTTGCTGTGGTAAAAATACGCGAACTATTGAGAGACAATTACAAATTTGTCTCAACAAAATTAATAGATGGTGTATGGAAAACGGGTTTAAATTTTCAAAATCCAAAACCAATTGTATACATTTTTGTAGGAAATACACATCCCATAAAGACCCTGAACTATCATTAAAAAGCGCACCCATCAAATTTGGCAACCAAGCTAAATTAATTGGTCTCACCTTTGACTCGCATTTAACTTTTCCGCCACATATCAAACATCTAAAAGCCAAATGCCTGAAGGCACTCGACTTATGGAAAGTCGTTTCAAGTTCAAACTGGGGAGGGGACAAAACTACCCTCCTTCATTTGTATAGATCATTAGTCCGATCGAAACTTGATTACGACGCCATCGTATATGGTGGGGGCTGTAAAAGCAACCTCAAACTACTTAATACTATCCATCACCAGGGTCTAAGACTTTCTCTTTTAGAATTCTCCTGTTGACAGTCTTTGCGTCGAGGCCGATGAGCTCTCTCTTAACCAACGCCGTATAAAACTATCCTTACAGTATGTAACAAAAGTATAACGAGTCTAACCCTGCGTTCAGCTGTGTTTTCAGCTGTCTATATGAGGATCTATGCAGCAAAGAGTCTTCTCTTGTTCTGCCTCTGGGACTAAGAGTCAAACATTTCATTTTTGCTGCTGGCATTGGGCTAGAAAATATAGTTCCTTCCTTTTTTCCTTTTTCTCCTCCTTGGCATTTGGTGAGGTACGGAAGCGTAGTAGGGCCAAGGTGATATTTTTTTTGGGGTCTTACTATCTCCTACGTAGTACTTAATGTATACTTCGTAGGACTTAGTATCTCCTGTGTAGGACTTAGTATCTCCTGTGTAGGACTTAGTATCTCCTAAGTGGGTATCTCCTACGTAGGACTTAGTGTCTCCTACGTAGGACTTCGTATCTCCTACGTAGGAGTTAGTATCTCCTAAGTGGGTATCTCCTACGTAGGACTTAATATCTCCTACGTAGGACTTAGTATCTCCTACATAGGACTTAATATCTCCTACGTAGGACTAAGTATATCCTACGTAGGACTTAGTATCTCTTACGTAGAACTTAATATCTCCTACTTAGTCATTTAGTATCTCCTACGTGGGACTTAATATCTCCTACGTAGGACTTAGTATCTCCTACGTAGGACATAGTATCTCCTACGTAGTGCTTAATATTTCCTATAGGAGATAATCGATATACGCTTATATAGATTAATCTGAAACGGTCGACTTAAATCCCCGCGACACGCACACAATCTCCTGTTTCACTGTTTCAGTCACTGTGAGAGTCTACAGTCATTCGTTTCATTCACTATTAGAGTCTACAGTTATGTGTTTCATTTACTGTTAGAGTCTACAGTTTCCTTCACTATTAGGGTCATGTGTTCAACTAATTGTTGCACATTACTGTGTTGGACCGACTGTTATACGTTAATGCCTTGTGTTCAGTTTGCTCTACTATTAGGCAATCTATGTGTACGTATCCCCTTATATTTATACAAATAACTATAATGACAACTCTTTGCCTTTTTTAATTTCGTATTGTTTTACGCCGCACTCAACACTTGTACACCCCAGTCAATTCAACCTGTAAATAATTACGAAAAATGCTACAAACGAGCGTTGCAACCGATCCAACCTAGCCCCATAAAGACAAGCAACAACTTGCGGAGGTCGTGTTATAACCCGAGTTTCATATGAGAACCTCAACCCAACATAACATTAAACATAACCATACCCAAACCTCCATAACTGCAATTAGAACAGGGTCCACGTCACCCTAACGTAATGCACACACAATAACACTGTATAGTAGCACTGCGTTAGTGTCATGAATATTCACTGACTCACATTTCGACTATCTAACTTCCTGCATAGCCAAACATTTATTAACTAAATAACCATACTTCATAATCCGAACCTTAAAAAGGATATATTAAGTACTACGTAGGAGATAGTAAGTCCTACGTAGGAGATACTAAGTCCCACGTAGGAGATACCCACTTAGGAGATACTAACTCCTACGTAGGAGATAGTATGCCCTACGTAGGAGATAGTAAGTCCTACGTTGGTGATACTAAGTCCTACGGAGGAGATACTATGTCCTACGTAGGAGATACCCACTTAGGAGATACTAACTCCTACGCAAGAGATGGTATGCCCTACGTAGGAGATAGTAAGTCCTACGATGGTCATACTAAGTCCTACGGAGGAGATAGTATGCCCGACGTAGGAGATAGTAAGTCCTACGTTGGTGATACTAAGTCTTACGAAGGAGATACTAAGTCCTACGTAGGAGATACTAAGTCCTACGTAGGAGATACCCACTTAGGAGATAGTGACCCCACAAAAATATTTCACCGTGGCCCTACTACGCTTCCGTAGTGAGGCCACAATTTGACCTAACACTGACAAAGTTTAAAAAATCTGAAACTAACTAATAACAATATAAACAAGAATATAAACAATTGAAAAGTACATTTAATACATACAAATCCTTTTTACAGATGTGTCCAAGGATGGTGGCGCAGAACAAGCCATATTAACAGCGCTTAAATATATATAAATATATATTCTGACAAACATCCATTATTAATTGAATTATTGAATTATTTAATGATCTTCCTACTGGCCAATAGGACATCTGTTGATTACCCAGCCATGTTGTCATATCTGGTAACACAATGGCCGATCTTGCTGCTAAGGCAGCACTCAACAAATCTGTGACACCACTTCTCATCCCATACTCTGATTACAAAGCTGCCACTAGAACTTATATCCGTGATCTGATGCAGAAGAAGTGGGACGCCCAAGTAGGTGTAAATAAATTACATGAAATAAAACCCTATATTGGTTATACCTGCTTGTGTTGTCAGTCCAGATTTGAAGAAGTCATCATGCGACGATGTCGTATTAGCCAAACAAGATATACTCATGAATACCTATTGATAGGTGAGGATCCTCCGTTTTGAATCTTTTGTGATGAAAGAATCACGGTCAAGTTTGTCTTGCTTGACTGTGTTGAATATTCCATCACAAGGGATAACTATTTCAAATCACGAACTATGAAGGATCTTTTTAATAATATCAGTTCTCGTTTAATTATTGCATTTTAAGAAGAATTAAATTTGTTTAATGATTTGTAAATAGGTAAGTATTTTATCATTGAAGTTTGAATTAATAACTCAGATTGTTAGTGGCTGTATGCTCGAGGCGGGTTAAAGTACTGTAAAGTTATTTTCCTCCTGAGAGGGTACGTAAGTCCCAAGACATTCCCAGTAAATGAAAACCCCACCTTTTTAATCGTAGAATATATGTAATTGTACTATTTGGCTAGATTTGTCTCATTTGCTAACAGCTGACGGGATGATGTAAATCCAGCTAGGGCCAATGCAGGAAGCAAATGTACTGTAAGTCCCGATGGTCCCTAGTATAGTGATCTACCTTCAGTTGTTTTCATATTGTATTGTCATCTATAGTTAAACTGTTTTACATCTAATTACTAGTTTTAAATTTGAATCTGTGATAATCTAGTTATTTTACTGTCCTTCGTTGACAGGTTTTTACAATCTGCCATTAACTACTGTTTATACAATTAATTCTTCTCGACACGATATGGCTGAAATATTGCCGATGTTATGATAAAGTTTAACTCACTCACTCACCCACCCCTCAGTAAGCACAAAGTGTGTCTCCTTCCAGTATGTGCAGGTTGTAGTATCTGTCTGTAGTACAACAGTCCGATGCTGGTACGGAAAGGAGCGTGGGTTCAGTATAGAATGATGTATCTATGACTTAGCCAACAGTTGGGGGTAGGTATTGACCACTTGCATAGCCCACATCATCGACGGTGGCATATCCGTAGTCAGAGGCTGCGCTGCCCGGGACGTATACGGCGCCAAGGTAACCAGCAGGTGGCTGTTTGTTCTGACAGTGATGTCTCCGCAGACATACGATGACAGCGAGGACGTTGATGAGGATCACGACGACACCTACAGTTCCGGCAATGACAACTGTGGAGCGGCAATGTTCCTCTGCAAAAAAAAAACATCTGTCAGAAACGTCTACAGAATTGGTTACAATATATTCCAGGTGTGGGAGATCCTGAGCTTCCAATAGCGTATTACTGTTCACCTATTTGCGACCACCTGCCGTCAGTGATCCACGCAAATAACCCCATCGTTATTTTACATTGTAAACTTAAGGAGGATGTTTTAACGTATAATCGAGTCCCACTTCAAACGGTTCATAAACGTGAAGTTCCGGGTTAGAATATTCATCTTCAGTAGCCCATGCTTGTTGTAAGAGGCGACTAACAGGGTTGGATGGTCAGGTTCGCTGACTTGGATGACACGCGTCATACGTTACCAATTGCGCAGATCGATGTTCATGCTGTTGATAACTTGATTGTCTGGTCCAGACTCGATTATTTACAGACCGCCGCCAGTTAGCTGGAATATTGCTGAGTGCAGCATACAACTAACCTCACTCACTCACTCACTCACTCACTCAAACGGTTCATACAGTGAAATGTATATAAGGAATATATGTATTTACACCCTAGCGCACGTCACATCACGTCAAGTCATATTACGACACTGCATTACTTTCCTCTTGTGATAGATCCACTATCGAGCCTGATTATCCAGGGGTGGAAATAACCCATTGGACGAAGCCCCATTCCAGTGGGGTTTTTTTGTTTTTTCTGTCGGGCAAGCAAATTGGTTTGTTAGACTGTACCAGTGTCCAGTTGACTTTCCAATGTTAATTATGTTGTTTATCTTAAAAAAAATCAACAAGAAAATCGGCCAGTATAGTGGACAAATTATCAGGGCAAGTGATTTTACATGTGCCACTGTACCGGAGTACACTAGCAATTTTAAAGTTATTTCCACCCCTGTTATCTTGTATGTTTCATGTTCAGTCACCATCAAACATGGATTATACATTTTAACAGGCAGTTTAAGGTCAACTATTTCTGCAGTCGATGGACAGTGACATACCTTTACCACTTGTACTGTCGTCATCAAAGGTTTTCACCAGCCCTGAAATGTAAGCAGGTAACAGCAGGGGTTGAACGTGACTAAGGAAATATGAGAACAGGTCAAAAGGGCCAAAGGACAAAAAGGACAAAATTGAAAAGATGAAAAGGGCCAAAGAACTGAGCCCTGCTGCACCCCTGAACCTGTGTTCACGGATCTATGGCCCCACCGCGTGAGTGGAATGATTGATGTGGATGAGTATGTGTGGAGTGATGATGTCTGTAGTGAACTTTCAAAATGTGTGAATTATGAAGAGTTGAACCACTTATGAATATTTGATCACATATGAACAGTCGAATGTATGATGATCGCACTATATATCATTACTGGTGTTACTATTCTAGCCACATAAAGAAACTGTGCATTGTCAAAATATTATCCCAGTTGATAAATACGATAACAATGTCAAAGGTACATATAAACTTTAATGGAGGGATCATGAGACCATAACAAGTCGGGAGAATTTCAATTCAATTGTCCACAAGCGGGACAGGGGTAAAACGACCATGTCACAAGCTCAATAACGGGTATGTCCACCATCCTCAGTGAGAACAGCAGTGCATCGACGATGCATAGAGCCTATCAAACGTGCAAGGAAGGCTTGTGGGATGTCACGCCAGATTTTCTCAAGTCCTGTTGCAAGGTCAAGGACGTTATTTGGCGGATGAGGAAGACGGCGTAGACGTCGATCCATCTCGTCTCAAACATGCTCTATCTGGGAGTAAGTCAACGTTGTGGTGTTGCAAGAAATCCATAGCAACCCTTGCCATATGAGGGCGGACATTGTCCTGTTGGAATGTTAACCAAGGGCCATGACGTTGCAGAAAAGGAATTGCCACAGGTCGAAGAATCTGATCCCTGTAGCCCAAACCAATTAAGTTGCCCTGAACAATCACCAAAGGAGTTCTTTGGGGTGCTGTTAATCCACCCCAAATCATCACTGAACCACCACCAAAGCGATTCCTCTCCAAGACACAGGCCTGTGCATAACGTTCTCCCACGCGTCTATAGGCACGTTGACGTCAATCACTATGGGAAATGTTAAACCTGGACTCATCTGTAAAAACAACATTTCTCCACCAAAACAAGGGTCTGCGGACATGATTTCGGCACTACATTCGGCGAGCTTGTCGATGACGTTGTGTCAGGATAGGCCGTATGGCGGGACGTCGTGGTCTGATCCCGTGATGACGTAAACGTTGTCGAACTCTGTTGGGGTGGATACGGCGAAGTCGTGGGATGGTTCGGGCAGTCATCACTGCAGTCTTAAACCTGTGGCGAAGATGGGTCACCCTTATCCATATGTCCTGTCTTGGCGTTGTTACACGTGGACGTCAGGAACGTGGCCGATCGATGACGTCATTTGTGTTCTGGTAGCGTCTCACCAGTGCAGAAATGGTGTTCCGGTGGCAGTGGAAATGTGCAGCCACTTGTCGTTGAGACATTCCCCCACGGACCATCACAATGGCCTCATGACGTTGTGCAGACGTGAGCCTTGACATGCTATGCGTTTCAATAGCCGTTTAATTTTTTTGAACGATCACAAGAGCAGGGGTTGAGCTTTCCAAAGTGACGGTATTGTGTGGCATTAATTTGCTCTGTTTCTCTTTCCCGGAATGCACGTGCAACAACGTATTGCACGTCTCAAGGACGAACCCACTGACGTCACGGAACGTGGCACGTGAATGCACGTTGGATACATGTCACTAATCTCTGAGTTTGAATCCTTATGTGTCTAAACAGGTTTGATAAATTTAGATTTTAAATGTTTGTATGCACAGTTTCTTTATGTGCCTAGTATACATATTGATACAAATATGATAAAACAGTATGTTCTTTTTGGAATTTGATCTACAGCCCTTTTCACTTAAGTCTATGGCCCTTTTGACTTTTCTTTGACCCTTTTGACTTTTCTTTGGCCCATTTAAATTTTTCAATTTTGGCCCTTTTGTCCTTTGGCCATTTTGACTACAATCAGGGGGAATATAAATAATGTTGGCAATACATGAAACAGCATACCAGGAGAGTTGAACTGTTTCATATCATTGGTATCTAATGGCAAAGTAGGAAGGACTGTCATGCATTTTCTATTGACATGAACTGGGGTCGCACATTAACTGCTGTATCAAGAGACTGTTACAATTACAGGTCTCTACCGAAACTACTCACTATCTCTATAGTTTCACACCAACTGTCCAATGATAATGACGTACCTTTCAATGACGACACGGAACGCCATGTATTGACGTCTTAGTCAGTAACTTTGGCTCAGTGAACTCAAACTAACTGATTCCGTAAGCAAAGAGTGTACACGTTTTTCTTGTCATTGAATATATTATCTTGTCTCACATCACGTCAAAATATGCCGCCACATCATATCGCATCACACCATGTCAGGTCAAATTACATTTCACTGCCATATCACGTCGGTTCATTTCATGTAACAATCCATTAACACAACGTCGTCATGAATCCATGAATTCATGCACTGACACTTATATAAGAAAATCTTGCAACGTCACATCACGTCACGTCATATTACTGCAAGGTATTACTTTCGGCGAGGGGCGGTGGGGTAGCCCTGTGGTTAAAACGTTCGCTCATCACGCCGAAGACCCTCTTTGGATTTCCACATGGGTACAATGTGTGAAACCCATTTATGGTGTTCCCCTCCGTGATATTGCTGGAATATTGCTAAAAGCGGCGTAAAACCATATTCAGTCACTAACTACTTTCACCGACAGACTGATGACAAGTAACGTCATGTCACGTCCTTTCAGCTTCCGTCACCATCATTACCTTACATCGCTTCATGCCAAGCCACGTGATGCCATGTGTCATCATTCTACCATCTTATCCAATATCAGCATCCATGAATTGAACCTGTGTTCAACATTCAAATTGTATTACACTCACTCAGTTGTTGAATCTCTTCACATGGTAACGCTTGTCTGTATCCTCCACAGATGAAGACCAGTTTCACTTCCCCGAGGTGGGACTCAGTCAGATTGAATATGACATCTGTGTTCACCGTCCATTGTGAGCTGTTCCAACCCGTTTGAATGTTTCCTGTTTGCAACTGAAACTGGGCCGACTCAGAACAGTAGTCTCCAGTTACGTTCACCTTCAACGCCACTTCCTCGTCCCCGGTGAAGTCACTGTCATCATTCTGCCTTCTTGTTATAGTGCATGCTGGGAATTCTGTAACAAATCAAGTCAGTTAGCAAATGTTTCTCGCCAGCCATAAAGATTGCAGTGGAGGTACACATGGCTGATTCATTAGCCTACATGGTCAAGTTAAGAAGCGGTGAAATAGGTACTGTACGTGTAAAGTGACCTGCATGTACGTGTCTGTGTAGCCCTTGGTTCTATTATTCATCCATATCTCATCACACCATATCAACACCAACACATCCATATCCCATCACACCACGTCACCATCAACAAATCCATATCCTATCACACGACGTCACCATCAACACATCCATATTCCATCACACCATGTGTACATCAACACATCCATATCCCATCCAAAATCGTCATCAACACATCCATATCTCATCACACCATGTGTACATCAACGAATCCATATCCTATCACACCACGTCACCATCAACACATCCATACCCCATCACACCACGTCACCATCAACACATCCATATCCCATCACACCACGTTGACAACCACACATCCATATCCCATCACACCACGTCAACACGAACCCATCCATATCCCATCACACTACGTTGACATCAACCCATCCATATCCCATCACACCACGTCAACACGAACCCATCCATATCCCATCACGCAACGTCAACATGAACCCATCCATATCCCATCACCCCACGTCAACACGAACCCATCCATATCCCATCACACCACGTCAACACGAAGCCATCCATATCCCATCACACCACGTTGACATCAACCCATCCATATCCCACCACACCACGACAACACAACCCATCCATATCCCATCACGCCACGTCAACACGAACTCATCCATATCCTATCACACCACGTCAACACGAACCCATCCGAATCCCATCACACCACGTCAACATGAACCCATCCATATCCCATCACACTACGTTGACAGCAACCCATCCATATCCCACCACACCACGTCAACACGAACCCATCCATATCCCATCACGCAACGTCAACACGAACCCTTCCATATCCCATCACACAACGTCAACACGAACCCATCCATATCCCATCACACCACGTCAACACGAACCCATCCATATCCCATCACACCATGTCACCATCAACCCATCCATATCCCACCACACCACGACAACACAACCCATCCATATCCCATCACGCCACGTCAACACGAACCCATCCATATCCTATCACACCACGTTGACATCAACCCATCCATATCCTCTCACACCTCGTTGACATCAAAACACCATGTGTACATCAACAGATCCATATCCTATCACACCACGTCACCATTAACACATCCATACCCCATCACACCACGTCACCATCAACCCTTCCATATCCCACCACACCACGTTGACATCAACACATCAATTTCCCGCGTTACCACGTCAACACGAACCCATTCATATTCCACCACACCACGTCAGCACGAACCCATGCATATCCCATCACACCACGTTGACATCAACACATCCATATCCATCACGCCTCGCCACCATCAACACACCCATATCCCATCACCTCACGTCGACATGAAAACATCCATATCCCATCACACCACGTTGACATTAACATATCCATATCCTATCACCTCATGTCAACAGCATCGCATCCATATCCCATCACACCACGTTGACATCAACATATCCATATCCCTTAACACCACGTTGACATCAACATATCCATATCCCTTAACACCACGTTGACATCAACATATCCATATCCCCTCACACCTTGTTGACATCAACACACCATGTCTGCATCAACACATCCATATCTCAACACACCACGTTCACATCAACACACCCATATCCCATCACACCACGTCAACACGAAACCATCCATATCCCATCAAACCATGCATAGATCAACCCATCCATATCCCATCACACCTCGTCAACATCAACCCATCCATATCCCAACCCACCTCGTTGACATCAACACACCCATATCCCATCACAGCATGTCATCAACCCATCCATTCCGGACGATTATCAGTTTGCGGTGAACAAAGCAGAACAAGAACATGTTCCTGATATAGTCGGATTCAGCATGTACAATCGGACGTGCCTTTAACATAGCATAGATAGTTACAGTGATATTACTATTAGATTGTAATCTCAGTGGTGACCACGACCTGTGTTTTTAATCATTGTTTTAGGGTTTCATCACACAAATAGCATTCAGCTGTTTCAAAGCAAAGAAATAACTGTCAATACTTTAATGAAGCAGCAGTTATGATTGTATTTCTTACACAAAGGTACCTGTTATTCAGACTACATGCAGCTTCCCTGTTGTTCAGATGGTGTCTATGTGTGTTCAGAGCTTGACATGACAACATCACATATTTGTACAAGCCTAATACTGAATACAGCTGATGAAGGTATCTACATTGTGTCAATGCTTAGTAGAAGATCAATAAACACACGTCTACTTACTTGCCACAGGACCCGGGAAGATCCGGGTTAGAATATTGATCTTCAGTAACCCATGCTTGTCGTAAAAGGCGACTAAAGGGATCGGGTGGTCAGGCTCGCTGACTTGGTTGACACATGTCATCGGTTCCCAATTGCTCAGATCGATGCTCATGCTGTTGATCACTGGATTGTCTGCTCCAGACTCGATTATTTACAGACCGCCGCCATATAGCTGGAATAGTGCGGCGTAAAACTAAACTCACTCACTCACTTGCCAGTCATCTGGCAGCCAGGAAAACAACAAACACGTGATCATGATGTCTACTTACTTACCACAGTCATCTGACAGCCAGGACAACAACAAACACCTGTACATGATGTCTGCTTACTTGTCACAGTCATCTGGCAGCCAGGACAACAACAAACACCTGTACATGATGTCTACTTACTTGCCACAGTCATCGGGCAGCTTGAACAACAACAAACACGTGTACATGATGTCTACTTACTTGCCACAGTCATCTGGCAGCTAGGAGGATCGGGCATATCGCAATCACTGCTACATTTCCAGGTACCAGCGTGTGACTTCAACAAGGCAGTTATGGTGAGAACACTGGAGGTGGTATTGATGACAGACGCTGTGAAGTTGCCAGTGTTTATGCAATACCCCGCTGTTGTGTTACATGATTCTGCTGTGTGTCCATTGGGTGTAATGAAGGAGTGGCTTCTACTTGCATCTATGCAGGTCAGGTTTGTGGGAGCCCCAAGCAGACCGATTTCTGGACACAATAACCTTCCCTCCACCGCAACTGCTGGTGTCAGTGAAAGTAAATAGACATATGTCGGTTAAAGGAAACATTAGCCTCCTTGGGAGTATATGCATTTAGTTATATTAGAATATTAACGATTAGTTAATTTGTCATGACTAATGTCAAATATCAAAAGTGCTTTTGAAAGGAACAGATTTGTTGGAGTGTCAAGCAGCCATGAATACACAATGGTATTTAGAAAGTGGTGAAATGTAACATATGCTATGTTTGGGATTACGCTTTCTCAATAAAGTATAGATTCTAGTATTTTCGTTTGTTTGAGTCCTATCCCGGGTTCGAACCCATACGCTCAAAGCCAGGTACCTGATCGCCAGCACACAAAGTCTGCCGCACAACCGGCTCACCCACTGCGGCTTCTCAAGCAGACAGTTTCAGGACACAATATCCTTCCCTCATCAGTACGTCAGTGTGTCAGTGAAAGTATAATACGTTAAGGAAACGTTAATGTCCTTTGTCAAATAAACTCGCGGGCGAAAGAAACGTCACCTTGCTTTTTTAACAGGTCACACACAAAAAAACTCAGATTTTGGAAATTTAACAATCATATGTGAAAGATTAATGGATTTACACCATTCTGGATGATGAAAGTGTGAACTACAGATATGAATAATCACTACGTGTACGATAAAAGATAAAAAAAAGTCATTTTGGTGACGTTTCTTTCGCCCGTAAGGTTACATAATCTTTATGAGCTGCATGATGAAACACACACTGGTACAGACAACATACCAGTCACAAGAAGCACAAGGGTAATGGCGCCCATCACTGGTACAGACAACGTACCAGTCACAAGAAGCACAAGGGTAATGGCGCCCATCACTGGTACAGACAACATACCAGTCACAAGAAGCACAAGGGTAATGGCGCCCATCACTGGTACAGACAACATACCAGTCACAAGAAGCTAATAAGGGTAATGGCGCCCATCACTGGTTCAGACAACATACCAGTCACAAGAAGCACAAGGGTAATGGCGCCCATCACTGGTACAGACAACATACCAGTCACAAGAAGCACAAGGGTAATGGCGCCCATCACTGGTACAGACAACATACCAGTCACAAGAAGCACAAGGGTAATGGCGCCCATCACTGGTACAGACAACGTACCAGTCACAAGAAGCTTACAAAGGGTAATGGCGCCCATCACTGGTACAGACAACATACCAGTCACAAGAAGCACAAAGGTAATGGCGCCCATCACTGGTACAGACAACATACCAGTCACAAGAAGCACAAGGGTAATGGCGCCCATCACTGGTGCAGGGGCTCTGTTCAGTAAGTAGCCTGTAAGTAAAGAGTTACGAATGATAGGGCTATTCATATCTATAGCCACAATCAACTCAAGCAGACAAGGGGCGGTGGGGTAGCCTGATGGTTAAAGCGCCCCTCGTCACGCTGAAACCCGTTTTTGATTCCTCCCACATGGGTAAAATGGTGTCCCCAGCTGTGATATTGCTGGAATAGTGCTGAAAGTGGTGTAAAACTACACACACTCACTCACAAGCAAACAAACAAAACTAATGTTAAGACCTTCTAAACTTCAAAGGGCTGTTCTTTTAATGTTTTTTTCATTTCAGATGTTAGGTCTATGAATGGCATTTAGAAGTTATACACATAAAGAAGAGAGTTTAATGCATGTTAACTTCTTTATTATGAGGAACACAATGTTTCGGGGTATATCCTTACTCCTTGTATGAGTGAGTGAGTGAGTGAGTGAGTGAGTGAGTTAAAGTTACATCGGTAATATTTCAGCCATCAATATCGTGACTAAACCTAGTTAAAAATTCATAATACATACATGTAACACATAAAATCCTGTCAACGCAGGACAGTACTAGATCCCTCGTTGGTTTCACAAAATTCTTAGGATTTTACAAAATCCTCAAAATCAACGACAATTTTATTTGACATATTCCCTTAAATGAATATAGCGCATTCTCAGTGTTTGTTTTCACAATACTGCTTGTATTAAGTACAGACAAAACGTGTCAAAATCATAAGAAAAATACCCTTAATAGATTTAAAATAGCTGTATAAATATGTCATAAAATATCAAATAATTCAATGAAAATCAAAAGAAAAATAACCTTTATAGATTTAAAATAGTTGCATAAATATGTCATATAAAATATCAGCTAATTTGACATATTCACTGTTACATATAGATAACTGTTTCTGGGTGAGACAGTCCGAATCGGGAGGCTGGAACATGGCATAAACCAATTTGCTTAAGATTACCAGAAAGTATGCAGAAAAATATAACATAAAAACAGTTGCATTTGTCTCATTTTCTAGGTCAGGCCGACTACTTTTTGACCGACACTCAATTAATTAATGTCCCTGTAGTGAAAGTTTACCTTCACAATTATTCAAACAAAACGACAATTTAAGTATTTATAATAAATCAATAATTAACGGAATCATATACGACCTAAACATACTAGTACTTACTTTACCAATTCGCAGAGCTGATCAGATTAACTGCCAGTGACCTCAAGCGCATGATCTGTCCCAAGTAAAGATGAAAAAGGCTTTCACTGGTTTGCGGTCCCAAACCCTCCAACATACAGCCCACAAATTATCTGATTGAAATACTTCCTCCTTCCCGTTTTTTGATGTGTTTGTCGTCACGCAGGAAATTTCATCAGTGTTGAACATTGACTCACGGTTTCAATTAATATGAAACAAGTAGTAGAACAGTCCTTTGTTATTAGCTCCGTGGAGTTTAAAAGGTCTTAACATTTTGTTTTGTTTCCTTGTGAGTGAGACACCGATATCATGGCTGGGGACACCAGAAATGGGCTTCACACATTCTACCCATGTGGGGAATCGAACCCGGGACATCGGCGTGACGAGCGAACGCTTTAACCACCTTCCCCTGAACATAGTGTGTCACTTAAAAGAGCCGACTGAATGAGGTCTCTTCTTCAAATCTTCTTTCCTTGATTCATTAATTCCTATTTACTAACCATATAGCCTTTACATTATATGTTATATTTGGGCTTATATTTTCTCGGTAAAGCACAAATTTTAGCAATTGTATTTTTTCTAGCCTCGTGCAGGATTCTAACCTACACTTTCAGAATAAGGCATCTAATCGCCAGCACCCAAATCGAGGGCTCTAACCCCCTCGGCCACATATCCCCGGAAATGGAAGTCTGACAACTACTTGCCTTGATCACGTAATTTGTGTACTGCCCATCCATCAACATGTTACATTCACAGGCGGATCCAGGGAGAGAGAGAGAGAGAGAGAGAGAGGAGAGGGGGGCAAGGGGATGTTTCCAGGTCCCCTCCCCTTTTATCCTGAAAGTGTATTAAATGACCATTGAAACTCTCATGGAAATGAAGTGTGCACACCCCGTTTCTCAAGAGTGTGCGCTTCTCAAAAAGCTGTATCCGCCCCTGTACATAAAACAATTTTCTGAAAGGCATGTGTGATGTTATTCATTATTATTTCAGATTATCATTATCATTTCAGATAACATATTATCTCTGTGCGTTACTTCCACACTATTCATACAGATAGTAACGATAACATGACACCAAGTTGTCTTAATACTATCCGCATAAAGGACGCTCATGTTGTGCATCGATTCGTATTTACTAACGTTAGCATGCAGCTATGGCTATATGTTATATCTGGGCTATATGTTATATCTGGGCTACATGTTATATCTGGGCTATATGTTATATCTGGGCTATATGTTCTATCCGGGCTGTGTGTTATATCTGGGCTATGTGTTATATCTGGGCTATGGGCTATGTGTTATATCTGGGTTATGTGTTATATCTGGGCTATATGTTATATCTGGTATGTGTGTTATATCTGAGCTATGTATTATATCTGGGCTATGGGCTATGTGTTATATCCGGACTATGTGTTATATCTGGGCTATATGTTATATCTGGGCTATATGCTATATCTGGGCTATGTGTTATATCTGGACTATGTGTTATATCTGGCTATGTGTTATATCTGGGCTATGTGTTATATCTGGGCTACGTGTTATATCTGGGCTACATGTTATATCTGAGCTATACGTTATATCTGGGCTGTGTGTTATATCTGGGCTATGTTATATCTCGGCTATGGGCTATGTGTTATATCCGGGCTTTGTGTTATATCTGGGCCATGTGTTATATCTGGCTATGTGTTATATCTGGGCTGTATGTTATATCTGGCTATGTGTTATAAATGGGTTATATGTGTTATATCTGGGCTATGTGTTATATTTGGGTTCTATGTTATATCTGGGCTGTGTGCTATATCTGGGCTATATGTGTTATATCTGGGCTATGTGTTATATCTGGGCTATGTGTTATATCCGGCTATGTGTTATATCTGGGTTATGTGTTATATCTGGGCTATGTGTTATATATTGGATATGTGTTATATCTGGGCTATATGTTATCCCTCGGTTCTATGTTATATCTGGGCTATGTGTTATATCTGGCTATGTGTTATATCTGGGCTATGTGTCATATCTGGGCTATGACTATAGGTTATATCTGGGCTATATGTTATATCTGGCAATGTGTTATGTCTGGGCTATGTGTTATATCTGGCTATGTGTTATATATTGGATATGTGTTATATCCGGGCTATGTGTTATATCTGGGCTATGTGTTATATCTGGGATATGTGTTATATCTGGGCTCTGTGTTATATCTTGGCTTTGTGTTATATCTGGGCTATGTGTTATATCTGGGATATGTGTTATATCTGACTCTGTGTTATATCTGGGCTTTGTCTTATATCTGGGCTATGTGTTATATCTGGTTATGTGTTATATCTGGATATGTGTTATATCCGGGCTATGTGTTATACCTGGGCTATGTGTTATATCTGGGCTATGTGTTATATCTGGCTCTGTGTTATATCAGGGCTATGTGTTATATCTGGGCTATGTGTTATATCTGGGCTATGTGTCATATCTGGGCTATGTGTTATATCTGGGCTGTGTGTTATATCTAGTAATTTTGGGATTGAGTCTCATATGGGTTTCGAACGTGCATATGGCAAGAAGCTGACTTGTTGATTTCCTCTTAAGGATTCTGTTATACTGTGTATCAATATTGAAGACTGTGTTGTTTTAACTCTAAATCAGTTTATTAGGAAATGTGCCATGTTAAAAGATCGCCGGTGGACACTGAACAATTGGTGTAGTGTATTAACATCATGTATAATTATCGTACATGTATTGAGTGTGTGGGTTTAGTTTTACGCCGCTTTTAGCAATATTCCAGCAATATCACAGGACACCAGAAATGGCCATCACTCATTGTACCCATGTGGGGAATCGAACACGGGTCTTCGAGCGTGATGAGCGAACGCTTTAACCATTAGGCTACCCTACCGCCCCCGCATATGTATTGAATACACAATACCATTTAGAAAGTGGTCAAATGTATCATATGATATTCTTGGGAATATATTGTCTCAGTACAGATTATGGTACTTTTGTTGGGTTGAGTCCCAACCGGGATTTGAACTCACCATCTCAGATTCAGGCATCGACATCACACAAAATCAGCTGTCTAACTTAACATGCATTGTATGTATTTTAGTGAGGGAGTCAAATGAATTGTCGAGAAAATGTTGGGTTTGGTTTCACACAATAGTTGTGTATGGCTCGTGAGGACATACAAACCTGATAACCTGATACATACCCGGACCTGATACAGAGCCTTTCTAAACTGAAATAAGAATATTTAACATTTGTAAATAGCATATTTAATGCAAAGAAACACTCAGTCTTGAATTTTCTCAGACATAAATCCCGTTTGACGTAAAAGCAAAACTAGTTGTGAAACTTTTATGAAAATATTAGAAGATCAGTGATGACGTCATGTTTTTGAGAAAATGGTAAACATCTTCATTCACAAAAACCTTAGCATCAATATCTGTCTGTAAATAATCGGATCTGGACCAGACAACCCAGTGATCAACAGCATGAGCATCGATCTGCGCAGTGGGGAACCGATGACATGTGTCAACCAAGTCAGCGAGCCTGACCACCCGATCCCGTTCATCAGCTCGTACGACAAGCATGGGTTACTGAAGATCAATTTTAACCCGGACCTTCACTGGTTTAAAGCTACTGATGGAGGGAGCAAATACGACGTTGATCAAACCACAAACTCCTCAACCACATTATTTGTATTTCCGCTCAATCCTTCCTACAATGCTAATTATGGATGATGGTAAGTCACTCGAAGTTACCCAACAACGATTCTGTTCCATAACACGACCCAGTAGCTACCGTCCATGAACTTCACTCAGATAAGATCCTGTTCAATAACACGACCCAGAAGCCACCATCCCTGAACCTGACTCAGATATGATCCTGTTCCTGAATGCGACCCAGTAGCCACCGTCCCTGAACCCTACTCAGATATGATCCTTTTCCATAACACGATCCAGTAGCCACCGTCCATGAACTTTACTCAGATATGATCCTGTTCCTGAATGCGAGCCAGTAGCGACCATCCATGAACCTGACTCAGATATGATCCTGTTCCTGAATGCGACCCAGTAGCCACCGTCCATGAACCTGACTCAGATATGATCCTGTTCCATAACACGACCCAGTAGCCACCGTCCCTGAACCTGACTCATATATGATCCTGTTCCATAACACGACCCAGTAGTCACCGTCCATAAACCTGACTCAGATATGATCCTGTTCCATAAAACGACCCAGTAGCCACCGGTCCTGAACCTGACTCAGATATGATCCTGTTCCTGAATGCTACCCACTAGCCACCGTTCCTGAACCTGACTCAGATATGATCCTGTTCCTGAATTCGACCCAGTAGCCACCGTCGCTGAACCTGACTCAGATATGATCCTGTTCCTGAATGCGACCCAGTAGCCACCGTCCCTGAACCTGACTCAGATATGATCCTGTTCCATAACACGACCCAGTAGCCACCGTCCATGAACTTCACTCAGATATGATCCTGTTCCATAATGCGAGCCAGTAGCCACCATCCATGAACCTGACTCAGATATGATCCTGTTCCATAACACGACCCAGTAGCCACCGTCCCTGAACCTGACTCAGATATGATCCTGTTCCTGAATGCGACCCAGTAGCCACCGTCCATGAACCTGACTCAGATATGATCCTGTTCCATAACACGACCAAGTAGCCACCGTCCATGAACTTCACTCAGATATGATCCTGTTCCTGAATGCGAGCCAGTAGCCACCATCCAAGAACCTGCCTCAGATATGATCCTGTTCCTGAATGCGACCCAGTAGCCACCATCCATGAACCTGACTCAGATATGATCCTGTTCCTGAATGCGACCCAGTAGCCACCGTCCCTGAACTCTACTCAGATATGATCCTGTTCCTGAATGCTACCCACTAGCCACCGTCGCTGAACCTGACTCAGATATGATCCTGTTCCTGAATTCGACCCAGTAGCCACCGTCGCTGAACCTGACTCAGATATGATCCTGTTCCTGAATGCGACCCAGTAGCCACCGTCCCTGAACCTGACTCAGATATGATCCTGTTCCATAACACGACCCAGTAGCCACCGTCCATGAAC